TGCCTTTCCTGGATCTCACTTTGTAGACCAGGCTGGCCTCGAACTCACAGAGATCTGCCTGCCTCTGCCTCCCGAGTGCTGGGATTAAAGGCGTGCGCCAGCACCGCCCGGCCAACCAGCAGCTTCTTGACTTCCTGGCGGCTCTTCCTTAGTTTGTTTCTTTGTTTTGCAGTACAGGGAATGAAATCAGCGGTCTTGTGCGTGTTCGGCAAACACCCTTGAGCTGTATCCACAACCCAGAAGCTCTTTCAGTGAGACAGGATACATTCCTGCTGGTTTTTAAAATAAGTTCAATTGTAAAGCAAGTCCTTATAACTGCCCCTGGCCTTGCTTTGGCTCCCAGAATGCCTAGCAGATCCACTGAACACTGGATTGTCCTCAGCAGACTTCACAGGCCCTCCCGGGACCTTGCCACCCAGCCTGGGGCACCTGTACCTGTCCGAAGCTTTTTCTTTGTATCTTTGAAATGGCCTCATACCCCTAATGTGGTCAGAGGAGTATAACGTTCCCATGGTGTCGCTGTTATAAAACTCTCTGGCCAAACACAAGTGGGAGAGAAAAGGATCAGTTCCCTTACACTTCCAGGACAGGCCCGTCCCCAAGGGAAGCCAGGGCAGGAGCTTGAAGCACAAGTCCTGGAGGCTCTGCTCACTGGTTCCTGCTCAGCTAGCTTTCTTATGCAACCCAGGACCATCTGCCTTAGGCATGGCACCACCCACAGGTCCCGCTACATCAATTAACAAGACAGCCTCCACCACCACCCCACCCCGCCACAAACTGCCTGCAGACCGATCTGATCTAGGCTGTCCCTCAAGTGAGGCTCCCTTCTCAGGTGACTCTTAGGCTGCGTCAGGGTGGCAGTTCAAGCTAACCAGAGGGAGACACAAGTCCAGATCTAGGCTACTCCAGACCCAGGATTTGCTGCGGAGAGGAAAGGTCTCTCTCCCTGAGCCTCAGTTTCCCTGGCTGTGAGACAAGAATGAAGAGCCCAAGTTTGGAGCTGTGGCAGGGAGGCATGCCTGACAGCAGTCTGTGGGGATTGCATCCTCTCTGCAGTGTCCGACAGTCAGCGGCACTGTGCTGATGTGAGCTGAGTGCCCATGTGCACTTGGGGAAGAGGAAACAGTATGAAAACCGATGATTTGGAAGGGTAAAGACATGAAGGAAGCGGGGGGGAGGGGGGGTCTCCTTTGTCCAGGCAGGACCCACACACACTTAACAGGGTTTCCATCCCCAGTGACTACAGAGCTCACCTCAACTACCAAACTACCAATAGCGGGAACCAAACCACAGAGGCAGAGGTCAGGGCCTTCCTTACGCCTATTCACGTGCAGATCAGGAGGGAAGGATGTGCTGGCCAGAACAGCTTCGTGATACAACAGGAAGGGCCCAGGACTGTTGCCTGCCACAAGTGGTTTCATTAGGCTGAGCTGAGGAAATCGGGAATGAGTGTGACTCTGTGTGCACATGCTGTGTGTGTACGCATTGTGCATGTGCATGTGTATGTACGCGAGTACGTATATTGTGTATGTGAATGTGCGTCCACACCCGTGCCAGCCTGGAGTCCTTAGTATGAACCCCTGAGGATAGTCTCACCCTATCCCTAGGACCGGGTAGCCAGGTGTGGCTCATGTGGATGTGGTCTCCCTTCCTCCCAGGAACAGCTGGCCAATCTCAAGGAAGACCTGGACAGGGATGACTGTAAGCAGGAGGCCGAGGTGGTCATCTACGAGACCAACTGCCACTGGGCAGACTGTACAAAGGAGTACGACACGCAGGAGCAGCTGGTGCATGTAAGCCTGCGACCCCAGCTCCCGCCTAGGGGTGCTGAGCCCCAGCCACAATGGACATAGAGCCTTCTGAGGCCTGTGTGTGTAGGCTGAAGGGGGAGCCCCATCCTTTGTGAGTGGGAGGCATGGTGACCAGATGCCTGGGAGCCTCCTCACCCCACCCCAAACACATACATGAAAGTCCAGGAACACACAGAGTGTGAGAACTGGGGAGCTGATAATGAAGAGGAGCCTTCCCCAACCCGGGGAGGGGCCAGCCAAACTGCCTGCTCCTAGCTGCAGCCCACACGCCCAGGAAGTTCCTTCTAGACCTGGAAGCTATACTTTCAACCTCTTTGAAGTAAATGATGGGAGAGGCAATAATCAGAGCTGGGTGCTGCATGCTCTTAGTTTAAAGAGGAGTGAGCAGTGCTTGGGCTGGACCTGGGCTCAAGCGAAAGGACAGAGGTGATGATGTAAACAACGTGCTCAGTGGCTGGAGAGACAGCTCAGTCAGCAGGGTGCTTGGAAGGCCTGGTTTGGGTTCCCAAGAACCCTTTTTAAAAAGGACTGGGTGGGGTATCATCGGATGCTTTTAATCCTAGCAGTGAGGAGGCCAAGAGAGATGCATGCCTGTGGATCTCAAGCCAACCAACTAGCCTGCCTGCTGAGTTCCAGACCACTGAGAGTGTCTGCCTCCAAAACCAAGGGGGAAATACCAGCAGACAGAATCCCTCAGCTAGATCCTATCTTATCCAGGAAGGGCTGCTCCAGGGCTCTCTCTGTGGCCCTAGGGGATCCTATCTACCTGGCCCTGGAAAGATCAGTCTGCTTTGCAAAGAGGATCTGCTTTTGCCTAGCACTGCCTCTCCGCTCTCTGGGAAGACGGATGGCAAGCTAGAGCCCCCGTCCATTATTAACAATTTGTCGCTAAGTAAACCAATAAGAAAAAAATGAAAGGCGTAGTCAGGAAGCATTTTTCTCATCTGAAAGGCTTTATGAATGGAAATGGGAGGCTGGTAGGAGAAGGTTCTTCTGGAAGTTCAAAGGGCTGCTATTTTACTTGCTCCCAAGGTGGTGTTATCTAGGCATGGCAGTCGGGCATGCGGCACGGGACATCAGGCCAGTGGCTTTTCATCTTCTAGGACAAGGTGCTGCCAGAGCCTGCCACTCAGTTTGGGACAGCTGTGTAGACTATAAATGTCTTTGTCTGGAAGAGGCTACAGCACATGAGTTTGCGTTTCCTCCGAGTGCCCTGTAAAGTACAGAGTCGGGCAGTGGCCGTGCTGTGTCCTTGGCTGACCCTCCTTACTCATCTAGGCTGTTTAGCCCCAGGGTCAGCCTGGCACCACGCCTTGAGCCCACAGCCAAGGGTCAGGAGCTAGCTGTAGCCTCCCTCAGAGGCAGAGCCGAGCAAACTCCATTTCCCAGTGGTAGGACCTCTCCTTTCCACATCTCTGAAGCAGGAATATCAGCATGTCGGCCTCACCGCACACTTAGCCAGCAGCTGGCGCTTGCACCTCAGGAACATCACCATAATCGCCACGTCCCCATAGGCCAGGCCCTGAGCCTCGCCTGGGGTACGTGGGCTGCCTTTAATCATCAGTAAACTGAGGGAAGGAGCCAGAGAGATGGCTCAGTCGGACAAATGTTTGCCATGCAGACCTCGAGACCTGAGTTCTGACCCCCAGCACCCACATAAAAGGCCAGGTGTGGTGGTGCTTCGTCTATAGTCCCAGCCCTGGGGAGATGGAGACACAAGGACCCCTGAAGCTCACTGGCCAGCTGGCCTTGCTGAACTAGTAACTCCAGGTTCAGTGAGAGACCCTGTCGCAAAAACTGCAGGGAAGAGTGGCAGGGGGGACAGGCCGTGCTGGCCTCCGGCCCCCGTGCACACCTGCATTCATGAGCACGCACCTACCAACACAAAAGAAGCATTTGGGGTGGGGTGGGGTGCAGGGTCTCACACGTGCTGGACAGGCGTTCTACCGTTGATCTCCGTCCCCAGCACTTGCCCTCGATAGCAAACTGGGAAATGCAGATGGCACAAGGAGGCGCACTAGCTGGGAATTATCCCAGGTGTCACATGCTCTCATGGGTCATATGGGCGGGTCAGTGACCTCTACACACTGGCGAGAATGGGCACAAGAAGGAAGGGTCTCACGTGGTGAGTGGGGGTGGGAGACACAGCTCCAGGCTGCTGACGGCAGCCACCAGAGGAGTCCGTTTTAGAGACATCGGCTCAGATTAAACTGAGATTCATGGACTTCACCACAGCAAAGAACTTCAGGGTCGGTCAGTAAAAAGCAGAGATGGAGTTCGTTTGTTTTTTAAATGAATTTATTTATATAGTCTGTTTGTGTATGTGCCACGGCATGCTTGTGGAGGTCCGGGGACAACTTGTGGGAGTCAGTGTTCTCCCTCTGCCGCGTGGGTCCTGGGGATCAAACTCGGGTTTGTCAGGCTTGGAAGCAGCACCGAGACCCCCGGACCTTTCTCGCTAGTCCCTGAGTAGCAGTTTGTTAAGATATTTTAACAGAAATGTAAGCACAGAGGTGAACAAAAAGAGAGTTTCTTAGGGCAAGGATGAAGACACACCCACTGTGGGTGTGGGCTTCTCTAGAGAGAGTCACCCCAAGTGTCTTTACAATTTAGGTGACTTTCTCAAAGGGTTGCTTTCTTAGCTCCTTCTCTGTTGCTGTGATGAAATACCCAGACAAGGCAACGTTAAGTAAGGAAAAGGCCTCGTTTTCGCCCACAGTCCAGGGTGCCATCCATGCCATCAGGGATGTCTAGGTGGTCAGGATGCATTCACCATAAGGAAACAGAGGAAGGGATGCACGCTGCTGCCCCTGCTCCATGCACACCCTTGCACCTTTATACAGTCCAGGATCCCAGTCAAGGCACGGCCTAACCAGTGGCTGGGTCTTCCTGCCTCAGTGCAGTCACAGGATGCCCCATCAGCCTGCCCCGGGCCATCTCTCAGATGATTCTAGATTCTACCAGGTTGTCAGTTAGCACTATCCTGGTGGCTGTGTAACTGGAGTGATCTCACAGGTGGATCCTGATGTTCACTGGTAGACTTCCAGCTGACAGAGAACCTCCCTGGTTCACAGGGCTGAGCGGGAAGCTGATATGTTTTCATTGCAGACTCACTGTGAGGTTTCCAGAAAATACCTAGAAGAATAAAGCCATATTCAAGGCCATCCATCTATGCTCAAGGCCAAGCGCAGTTTATCACTGTTTTAACATTTCCATTCGAAAGTATTATCTCCATGTCATCAGCCTTCACAGCAAATGCTAATTGTGCTGGAATTCCCAGTTACCGGACAGTGAGAGGCTTCCTCCAGACTCCCTAGGGACAGCTTCCGCTCCTGCCTGTCCCTTTTATCTCCTAGTATTCTTCTGTGCCTTGGGGAAGTCAGGGGAGTGCGAGGTGTGTTGCTTACCTTGGAGTTGCTGTAACCACCTACTTGACAGAGCCAGCTCACGCAAGGGAGGATCTGAGAGTTTGTCCCTGGTCCCTTGGCTCCATGCCCTTGGTGGAGCAGAGCTGTTGGCCTCGTGGCAGATAGGAAGCAGATCAAAGGCAGAGTCGGGGTTCAGGGCAGACCCCAAGGAGATGCCTCCATCACCACCAACTTCCTTCAGCAAGGTCCTATCTATGCATGGATCTTCTCTGGAAAATCCTGTGGGGGTTGGGTGGGAGAGCCTCTCAGGTCTCCAAGGCGACAGTTAAGAGGGGCGATTGATTGAAGGCTGAGGAAGTGACTCCTGGGTAAACGTGCTTGCTGCACAAGGATGAGGATGTGAGTTTGAACCCTCAGAACCCACATAAAAGTGAAGCACTGGAGCAGGAGTCTGTAATCCCAGGGATGCCTGGAGTGATGATGAGAGGCCGAGGCAGGAGAATCAATCCCTGGGAGCTCCTGGGCCAGCCTTGGCATATGCAGCAGCAAAGAGAGAACAAGGTGGAAGGTGGTGAGGACGGGCACCCCAGGTTGTCCTCGGCCCCCCACCACACATGCACTGTGCACTCACGTGTAAGAGTGAATGCACACTCATGCCCACACATGCACATGTGTGAATGTGCACATGCACGCACACACACACACACACACACACACCAATGTGCACACCCACAATGAGGTTGAGTGGTCTGTATGTCCTAAGTGGAGGCTTTGGGATGGCATGACAGTCCACTGGGGGAGGAGGGCCGCTGCACACTGGGTGGGCCCAGCTGAGCAGAGAGTGAGCCAGGCTCTCTGAGGGGCCGGCCCAGGGAGGTGGCCCTTGAACTGACCACCACCCCTTGTCTCCCCTCCCAACAGCATATCAACAACGAGCACATTCACGGGGAGAAGAAGGAGTTTGTGTGCCGCTGGCAGGCCTGCACGCGGGAGCAGAAGCCCTTCAAGGCGCAGTACATGCTGGTTGTCCACATGCGCAGGCACACGGGTGAGAAGCCGCACAAGTGCACGGTGAGCCTCCTCCCACTGAGGGCGACTCGCACACAGTTCAGAATGGGCCCTGACCCCCAGCGCCTCTTCCCACTGAAGGCGACTCCGACAACAGGCCCTGACCCCCCAGCGCCTCCTTACGGCTTCGACTAGTGTTTCCCAATGACAAACGCTATCAAACTGGCTCTTGCACATTGAAAACATTTTAATTGCATTTATTTATGCGGCAGGACAGGGGAAAGAGGGTGAGACGTGCAGAGAAGTCAGAGAACTGATTGCCAGAATCTGTTTTCTCCTTCCGCCATGTGGGTCCTAGGGAAGATGTTCCGGACACAGGGCCGGCAGCAAGTGCCTTTACCCATGGAGCTGTCTCCCTGGTCCCTAGCTGTCCATCTTTGGGAAACAGAGTTTGTCGTTTTGTTGCTTGGTTACAAGAATTCCTTTATAACTAGATTTTAGATCATTACATACAGTTTGCAAATATTTTCCCAATTCTGTGTGTTGTCTTCGTTTTCTGGATAATATCCTTTGAAGCACAAAAGCTTAATTTAGTGAAATCCAATTTTTAGCTGTTGTATCTTAGAACTGGCTGCCTAGCTCATGGTCACAATGATTCAACCAGCCTCCCGCCTTGTTTTCTTCTAAGAGTTTGGCAGGGGGAGGGGATAAAAATAGCTCAGCTGACAGAGTACCTGCCTAGCACACACAAGGCCCTGGCTTCCACTCCCAGGACCACATACACTGCGTGTGATTGTGTGTGCTTTTCACCCCAACACTTAGGAGGTAGAGGCAGGGAGATCAGAAGGTCAAGGCCATCCTTAGCTACATAGTGAGTCTGGGGCCAGACTCATATAGCCTGGGCTATATGAGAACATGTCTCAAAAAGGAGATAAAACAGGCACTGGAGAGATGGCTCAGCACTTCAGAGCACTCACACCTCTTCCAAAGGACCCAGGTTCAGTTTCCAGCACCAGCACGGTGCTCAGTACCCCCTGTAACTCCAGGTCCACAGGATCCATCACCTTCATTTGGTGCTTTGGACACCAGGCACACATGTGGTGTGCAGATACATGTACAGACAAAACACGCATACACATAAAATAAAAATCTTTCAGAACAAAACAGAAGACAGTTAATGAGAGCTGGGCAGCGGAGAAATCAGAACCTTCACATAATGTTGACAGGAGAAGCAAACAGTGAAGAACTGGGCAGCTTATAAATATGTGCTTTGGTTTATGTAAACATCACACATACATACGTGCATGTGTGCTCATGTGTTTCACAGTAAAGCTCTTGCATCCGGTCTTTGATATGTCTGAGTTGCAGTCTTACACTTCCGGCCCTCTCAGTGTTTTCCAGAGGAGAGAGGAACCGTCATTACTACCATCACGCATTCTTTGGGGTGCGGAGTGGGAATGGGCGCCACAGGAGAGGGCAGGGAAGGGGGAGGAGGAGAACCCCGGGGTGCAGCGGCCTCAGCTGCATATGGAGTGTCCTTTCTGACCTGTCCGCCTCCTTCCAGTTCGAGGGTTGCTCCAAGGCCTACTCTCGCCTGGAAAACCTGAAGACACACCTGCGGTCCCACACCGGGGAGAAGCCATACGTGTGTGAACATGAGGGCTGCAACAAGGCCTTCTCCAACGCTTCGGACCGCGCCAAACACCAGAACCGCACTCACTCCAATGAGGTACTCATGACAGGGATGTGCCCGACGTGTGGAAATGCTTTGCCCTTGACTAGTGGACAGCATGCTCGAGTCTCGTTTATGTTGCTCTGGTAAAATACCCTGACCAAAAGCAACTTAGGGAGAAAAGGACGTCAGCTCAACTTACAATTCCAGGCTACAGTCTGCTATGGGGAAATCAAGTCAGGATCTTCAGCCATCATACAACACCCACAGTCAGGAGCAAAATGAATGCATGCACGCTTACTTACTTGACTGCATGGACTCAAACCTCCTGCCTAGGGCATGGTCTGCCCACAGTGGGCTGGGTCTTCCATATCAATCAGCTTAATTAAGACAGTACCTCACAGGCATGCCCATAGGCCAATCCAAAACAGACAGTGGTTCACTGAGACTCTCTTCCCACGTGGTTCTGAATAGATAAAGCTAACCAGCACAAACCATATGCCAGGTGGCCCTCCCCCACCAGCCACTCTGGTTACACAGACCTGCTTATATCAGCAGGTCTATACGCTATGGCCCCTCCCCCAAATAGCAGATGCTCCATAAAGTTCCATGGCACACTGACACTCTGCACCTCAGTTAATAAATAACAGATGCCCCCATGGGGTCCGCAGAAACTGAAATCAAAAGAGAATGGCCTGAAAACTGGACATAGTGGTGCATGTTATAATCCCAGTGCTGGGGAGGTAGAGCCAGGGAGATCCCTGGGGTTTGCCAGTCTAGCCAGTCTAGCATGGCGTGATCCAGGACAATGAGAGAACCTTCTCAAAAATCTAGGTGTATGGTGCCTCAGGAAAAACCACACACACAGAGCTTCCTGGTTTCCAAGTTCTGAGCATGTCCAGAGATGCAGTCTTCTCTGGCCACTGCTGCCTGGGCTGCAGATAAGGAACCTGACACTCAGAGAGGGGATGCAAGCTCTCTGAAGCTGTGAAACTGTCCTGGGCCATTGCTTTACCCACAGTAGGTGTCTGCCCACAGAACAGCTGCCCAATGCCATCAGCCCTTTGCACATGCTGCAGATCCTGCTCTGGAGGGCCTGCCTCAGCTCCACTGGGCCATCAACCGCCTGCCCAGAGCAAGGAGAGCCCCTGGGCTGGCCTGAGAGAGCCAAGGAAGGAACTCAACAGGAACTTCTAGTCTCAGCTAACCTATACAATCTCTGTGGTTCAGGCAGACCAGAGAGTGAGCTTGTGTGTGCATGCACGTGTGTGCATGCGTGTGCATGCGAGCGCGCGCGCGCGCGCGCGCGCGCGCGTGTGTGTGTGTGTGTGTGTGTGTGTGTGTGTAAATAATTTGATATTAATAAATGTTTTGCCTCTGTGTATATGCATCATGTATGTGCCCAACCAGAAAAGTGGGTCAGATCCCCTGGAACTGAGGTTACAGATCATTGCAAGCCACCATGTAGGTACTAGGAATTGAGCCCAGGTTGTCTGCCAGAGCAACAAGTACCCTAAACCACTGAGCCATCTCCCCATCCCTGGGGAAAAGAGTATTACTCACAGCTTAGATGCAGCATGGCCTGCAAAGAGACCTTTCTTCAGAGCACGTTAGAAATTAGAGGCATTCACCAAGGCCTCTGGACCCCTTGGGATCTCTGCAGATTGTAGCTAGCCTTGGGGAGGAGTATGGATGTGTATGTGTACACCTATGTATATAGATGGTGTGGAGATGTGTATTTATATGCACATGTATAGGTGTGGGAGTAAAGTAGGTTACATTATTATCTGTATGGATTGGAAGGTTAGTATATGTTTGTATGTGTATGCATATATGTGTAAGGGTGGTACATATATATCTGTATGTAGATGTAAGATGTTCATGTGTATAAGTACCTTATGCACATGTAGCTATAGGAGCATGTATACATGTATGAAGGTAATTACGTGTGTGTTGTGCATTTGAATGTGTGTGGTGGGTGCATATATGGAGTGTATGTGGAGCCAGGTGTGGATTTGTAAGTATATCCATGTTTGTGTAGATATGAGTGAGTGTAGGCAGAGTTTTTTGTCAGGACTGTAATCAGCTCTATTCCTCCAGCCACTTCCCAAATAACCATTCAGAGACTTATTGTCAATTATAAATGCTCGGTTGATAGCTCAGACTTGTTTCTAGCTAACTCTTACATTTTAAATTAACCCACATTTCTTACCTTCTTTCAACATGGTACATTCATCTTGCTTCTCTCTGCATCTGCTTGAGACTCCTCTGATTCCACCCTTCTTTCCAGCATTCTCTCTGCCCTGAAAAACCTCCTGCCTAGACATCAGCCAATCAGCGTTTTATTAAAAATGAGAGCCATATTTATTTACAGTATACAAAGATGGTTCCACAGCAAGTAAGGGTGGTTTATATATGTATATGTATGTTATATATGTGTGTGAATATATGTACAGGGTTAGGTTTATGTTTGTGATGGTTTGTGTCTGTGGATTTGAGTGAGACCAAGCCTAGGACAGAGACAAGATGTTCAGATGCTCAAGTGTGCTCTCTATGGCCAGGTGATTGGAAGTTTCCTTGGTTCTATCTGCTTTTGACAGAGACATGAAGGGCTAATGAGCTTGAAGTCACAGTCCCGATTCCTGGGGGAGCACGTGGGTCTTTCCCACACTCTTTCTGATCCATGTCACCAGCTTCTTGAGCCAAGAGTTCTTTTGAGAGTGTGCCTTCTTTGCATGTGGGGGTAGTATGCCAGGTAGATCGGGAGGCCAGGCTCCTGTGGACTTGACCTGGTGTGCTCATCCCACAGGATGTGAACATGTTGAAGCCCTTACCCCCTGTGCCAGCCGGGGCTGCCAGGGAACATGGGACGGCTTCACAACAGGTATCTCACCCATTTAGAGTTTTCCTTGGGTCCCCATCCATAACCAAGGCCTGGCCCTCTCCCTAGAAACCCTACATCTGCAAGATCCCAGGCTGCACCAAGAGGTACACAGACCCCAGCTCTCTCCGCAAGCATGTGAAGACGGTCCATGGGCCAGATGCCCATGTCACCAAGAAGCAACGCAATGATGTACACCTCCGTGCTCCGCTGCTCAAGGAGAATGGGGACAATGAGGCCAGCGCTGAGCCAGGTGGCCGGGGGTCTGAGGACGGTGTGGAGGACAGCAGCACCAGCCACACTGTGGAGGATTGCCTACACATCAAAGCCATCAAGACAGAGAGCTCTGGGGTAAGACAGAGCTGGGTGCCCAGCTGGCAGGGGGCGATTCTCCAGCTCTGCACAAGGCCCAGAAGCCCAGCCCCCTCTGGTACCCCCTTCTCAGAAGGAAACGATGCCCCATCTTGCTCCAGCTCAGCCTTCCTCCTTTATCACCTTGTACCCCTCATGAAACCTGTCTCATTTCAGCCGCCTTCTCTGGCCCAGCTCCTGCTGGGCAGCTGGGGCTGGGGCGGGGGATGCCCTTCCTCCATGCTGCTCTGTGCAGGATGTGTTTGCCTCTTCATCCAGTACCTGGGTACCACTGCGGGTCCCCGCCCCTCTGCCCCTGTCTGTGTCGTCCCCCTCTAGCCTCTGCTCCTTCCGTTCTAACCACCTGTTCCTTGTCTCCACCTCTTTTTCCCAACTGTACCTCCCCTAAGGATAGACGCTGCTGAGGTGAG